ATATAAAACACATAAGACAATTATGTTAAATCAAGGTACACTGTTGGATACATTGGCCAGCGGGATTACAACAACTTCTTTTTGCTCTCTATTTTTTCTTATTATCTGTCTTTTATTTTGGAATTTATTTATATATTGAGTTTCTCATATAAGAAAAACCATGTGATATTTAAGCTTATGTGTCTGATTTATTTCACTTCACATTATAGTCTCAAGGTGCATCCATTTTCCTACAAATGCCTCAAGTTTATCCTTCTTTATGGCGTAGTATTTCACTGTGTGTAGACATCACATTTTCTTTGTCCATTCACCCGTTGATAGGCATATTTAGCTATTATGAGTCGCGCTGCTCTAAACATGGGTGTGCATACATCACTGTGGTTGTGATGTCTTTAGCTTTCTTGGAAAGATAACTAGAAGGGGCATGGCTGGGTCAAATGGGACTTCTATTTTTAGATTTCTTTTTCTTTTGAGGAATTTCCATAGTGGGTGTACCAGTTTACACTCCCACCAATAATGAAGAAGAATTTTTAGAACAGTTACCATAGTCTTATTAGAAGTAGGGTGGCCCTGGGTTTCGTAGAAAACAGACTCCATAGAGCTTCTCATGTGATTAAAAAGGAAATCTGTAAAGTGACGCCATAGTACAAAGCGAGGTAGATTTGGTAATGGATAATACAGGCAAAAACATCTTGAGAAAGGGAAAAATCAATGAAAGCAAATGACTAGAGAATGCTTTGTAAAAGAGGAGGGACTTGAACTGTGCCTTGCAGGGCTCAGAAGACCTGAGGAGATGGAGGGGACGGGGCCCAGCCATCAGGGAGGGGAGGAGCGAGGGCACATGTGGGAGGCGGTGACAGGAGCTTGGGCAGAGCAGTGTTTGTTCTTGTGAGTCTTAGGACAGGAAAACCTAAAGATATACTTGTAGATGGAAGAGGGCCTAGAGGATGGAAAGGTCATAATACAACGCTGGTGTGATGGTGCACACCTGTAATCCCCACACTCGGGAGGCTGAAGCAGGAGGATTGCTGCAAATTTGAGACCAGCTTGGGCTACACAGTGAAACCCTGTCTCAAGAAAAGCACAACAAAACAAAGTTCATAGTGCAGGCCCTGATAAGTGGACCCCTTCTCATGTATTTTTCAGAAAGTTTCAAAACCTGACCAATGGGGTACCTAAATTCTCCACGCCTGTGATGGTATTGGGCTGCAGGATTTCTTCCCTCTTTGTGAGTATCTAGCCGAAGGTGTTTCACAGACAGGTACAGCCTGAGCAGCTGGGAGGTGCTGAGATCGGAGGAAATTCTGATGGGGGGGCTGCCAGAGAGAGAGACACAGGCCTGGAACCCAGGAGAGTGATCTCTTCTGTACTACCCAACAGAGCCTGCTACAGGGATGGGACCATTCTGCCACTGTGTAGCCAGTGGAGTAGCCATTGAGCTCACGTGGCATGCAGCATTTCACACGTGGCTGCGTCACCAGGAAACTGGATTTTATACTAAAGTATATCAAATCTCTACTCTTCTCATTCTTAGTAATCTACTTAATCACTAAGCAATGAATACATTATGAATTTTTAGAAAATTTAGAAAAGACAAGTGAAACGATTCAAAAAAGCAAGATAAAAGATGTCACAAGACTATTCATGTCTCAGATAATAAATCTCCCGTTTAGAAAAGGACCAGGAAATTTGGGCTTGAATGATTCAGCTTAGGTCTTTGAGGAGGAGGCTTGTGTCAGATTCTGAATGAGGAGAAATGGCAGGTAAAAAAAAATCACAAGATTTTCGAAGTTGGAGGTTTCCGAGAACTAATCTAGATCAAATGTCACCTCATTTTATAGATGACTAGGTTAAGGCCATAGGGTTAAGTGGCTCAGTCCAATTCCCTTGAGGCCAGTAGTGACAGAAAATGTCTACCAGGCGGGTGCACTGATATCCATTCAAGGCCAAACACCACAGGGGATGAGGAAGCATGCTGGAGAGCGGCGGGACAGGAACAGGTCAGCAGAGCCACCGTGTATGGGGACCTCCGTGTGTGAGAATGAGGACGGGAACCAACCCTGAAGGCCAGGAATATAAACCTGCAACTGGTCAGCTGGGCTAAGCCCAGAATTCCTGCTCCTGGGGCTGCCTGCGAGTCTCCCTTTGCCACAGCAACAGTGGTACACACTTTTCTAGAATGTTACTCTTTTCATGTTGACATAGCCTCAAGTTCGCCTGGAGAGGGAGGGGACTGAAGAAGGGAGGTCGCCTGGGGAGGGCATGGATGGATGATTGTCACGATGGGTCCCCGTCACACCTCAGAAACCCTGATTCAGGAAATTTAGGAAGGAGCCTAAGAAGCTGTATGGTTTTAAAGTTCCCCTAGGATTCTGATGATCATCTAGTTTGGAGGGTTTTTTAACTTATCTTTTTATCAGCCAATCAAATAGCAAATACCGCTTTGGAAAACTGGTACTATTTGCCAAATCTATGCCCCCCTGACCCAGTATTCCATACTTGGACATATACCCCCAAAGAAATAAACTCTTATATTCCCCCAAAGATATATACATCCAGAAAGGTTATTATCAACCTCAAACCGGAAATAACCCAGTGTCCATCAGTACTGGAATGGATAAATATACTGCAGTGTGTTCATATAACACTGTACACAACTCAAAAAGTAAACCACTGTTTATGTGCACCAAGATGGACGAACAGCACAGAAACAATAAGCATCAGAAGACAGACATGGAGTAATCACTGTATGATTCCACTTATGTATGATTAAAGAATCAGCATAAATATTTGCTGGTGACTGAAATCAGAACTGCCTCTCTGTGGGAGTGTTAACTAGGAAGGAGCATAAGAGAAATTCTGGGGTGTTGGAACTGTTCTGTATCTCAAGTGGGTAGTGAGGATACAGTTATATAGATATATGTGACAATATATTGAGCTGGCTCAACTTGTTCAGTTTACTGAGTATATAGATTACCCCTGGTTTAGAAGAAAATGTATAAAATACGTCCTTGCACAGGCAAACCCATAAGGTTGCTATAAGAGCCCCGTGGCTTTAAAAAAATGAGATAAATAGAAAAGTATAGTCTTATGTTCTTAACTAGCTGATGCCACTCTAGTTGAAATCAGTTAGATGCTCTGCCTGGAACTCAGGAGACCATCAGCTTTTTAAAGCCATAACAAAACACAAGAAGTCAGTTATACAGGAGCGCATAGTGATTTCTCAACTTGAGAAGGACACATGGTAACTCTAAACCTACTGAGGACGCACTGCAGCTGCCAGTGTGTGCAAGCCAGCTTTAGCAAGAGCTCTGCCTTTCTGCTGATGGTGAGCTGCTGGGTCTGCTTTGAAACTCTGGGGAAGAGGTCCCTGCAGCTGCATCTTTACATTCCATGCCCTCACTTTCCTCTCTGTTTCCCTCCCCAAGAAGACAGTAAACACCATCTGCACCACTGCATTCATCAACCCGGAAGCTGAAATCTCGCCTTCCCAGCAAGAAAATTACCCTCATCCTGAAGTGCACTCGGCCATTGGTAACTAGCCACAGAGCTTCTGCCAAGTTCCAAAGTCTGCCGCCCCGAATCCACACCGAAACTGCGTGAGGTCGCTTGAGCCTAGTAGCCAAATGTGCGGAAGGCCAGGGGAGGGAGCACATAAGCCCTGCCCTGCGGTGCAGTACCCTCACCTCTGGGCCACTACTTTTCAGTCTTTGAAAGTGTTATGAGTGCAGAGCAGTGCACCTCAGGCAGCTGAGCATAAACACAACTCTACAAATACTGATACCACTATCTTTATTTGTCCATTACTCTGCAAGGTCGGCTCACCTGAGAACTCTTTGTTCCTTCACAAAATGAGAATACAGCACCACATGTATTAAAGTGTGGGACATTCGCTTCTGAGTATAAGCTTTGAAGAGCTGCTTCTGTGCCTTTTTCAGTATGCTCTCAAGTCCTGAGAATCTCTAGGATATAGCATAAAGCTGATTTTGAGATTAAAAATGTATGGGCTCTGGTTCACTAAATTATTTTTGTTACTTTGACCATTTTGATTATGCTGTGTCTGAAAGTCCGATCATTACTATGTCCGATGTTTAGAACCCAGAAATACATAAGGTATGTTCGGCAATTTGTGTGAACAACCTGCAGATATTTACCAACTTGTTAATTCAAGCACAGTGTTTTATTACAAGATAAACGTCTGATAAACGTTGAAGAGTGCAAAAAAATTTTTAAGAATGAATAAATGCAACATTTTAGGCAATGCATTCACATAAGTAATGCAGTTCACAGATACACATATTTTCCCCAGAACAAAGCTCTATACTGGACTCCTTCCCCCTCGCCCCCCCCCGCCAGCCCCCAAAGATATTATATGTAGAAGGATGTCAATAAAGATATGAAAATTAAATGTGAAGTTTGCATGGAGTATTCTCCACAGTGGGGGAAAATAAAACACTTAAGAGAGACCTAGAAAACAGAGCACACAACTCTTCAGTCACAAGCAGCCACCCACAAAATCAGCTGTGAGAAAAGTTAAACTGTCTGAGGAAAATAAATTTCAAAGAAATGAGGCTTATTTTCTCCTCTGGGTTATTTCTGAAAGAGTATTTTCGAGGTGAGCAGTGAGACTTCTGTGCTCTCTAAAGGGTTTGAATTACTTCTAAGAGACATTTTCCTGAGCTGGAAGCTATGAAGTGTGATGGTCAATTAATTCTGCAGGGAGGGAGAAGTTGGGAAAATGTACCTCCATCTTCCACTCAGAGATTTTCCCCCTCATTTGTCTCCTTCTGTCTCCATCATTCACTCACTTTTCTTTCTAGAACCAATATGTCAAACTCAGTTAATGATTCCCAGAACAGAAACATGGCTGGAAGGGGATCCGAGTTGGAATAAAACTTGCTTTTGTACCCACAGCCCTATGGGTCACAGTGGCGCAACATGTTCATTGCCTGAGGCCTCCATCACCCCCGGGAGAGCAGGTAACTTCGGCCAGCGCTTACCTGTCAGCGGACAGCGCCGTGAGTGTGAAGACAGAGACCCCCACTGAGGTAAGCTGGACAAAGGGGATCAGCTTGCAGCCCATCCTGCCAAATAGCCATCTGTCGGCCAGGTACCTGCTGGCATCCACAGGAGCGCACGTCACCAGGAGGAGCAAGTCTCCCAAAGCCAGACTGGAGATGAACAGGTTCGGCACATTTCGCATGGACTTGACTGTGCAGAAGATCTTGATCAGGGTGATGTTGCCAACGAGGCCTATCAGGATGATGACCCCATATATCACAGGGATGACATAGAGGATGCCCGGGTGGAGCCAGTCGTCGCTCTGGGGGAGATCCAAACTGCCATTGGAGGTGTTGCAGTACGTGAAATGTTCCCCTTCCAATTTCAGAAGGAAACAATTGCTTGGATCCATCTCTAACCTTCTCCTCCCCTCCAAGTGCCCCGGAGATGCTGTTTCTTAACTTTTGATTCTGCAGTTAGATGAAGACGCAGGTGATGGCTATGCTGAGCTCTCTATCCTCTTTAACCAAAACTACTCTGAACCCATATACACGGTGATAGTCGAAACTCTTTGTCACTATTGTGATGCTAGTGCTGCTGTGGCTTTCACACAGTCAGTTCAGTCCATAACTCCAGTAAATTAACAACAAAGACTCAGTCCAAAGAAAGGCTTCTAATGAAACTCACTCTGCCAGCTCTTTCTACCTTTGTCCTGGTCTGAGTCCCCGCTGGCTGCAGTTTACTGAGAACTTTTGGCTATTTTCACACAGCATTCCCTGTCTTCCCTGATATTTAGAACCTGAAGGTTTAAAGTGGGTAGAAAGAACTGCACTGAGCAAACCTCGAATCTTATAGGCAGGGTGCTATGCGCGTCATCGGCTCCACCAGCAAACTGCCGCTCCGCCGAGCTGAGGCTACACAGCGAATGCCAGCCCCCTGCTGGACACTGCAATCACTGCCCAGCCGCCTGCCTTCTCCAAGGGAGAAGCGACCCGCAGACTGCTTTGCAAAGCCTTTGGACTTCTCTTTTCAACACGCGGGACATAGGGGAGGTATTTAATAAACGCTGCTAGCACTACAGAGGACCCTGGGCGTGCTTCTGACAGCATCTCCACGGACGCAGATGGAACGCACACACCATTTTCTCATCTTTTCTAATACATTAGAACCGCACGCGTGGGGCTGCTGTAAAAGGTCTGTCCGAATTCAGAGCACACAGATGCACCAGGTGTCCGTGTGTAGCTGTCTCACTCCGGCTTCTCAGAGCAGGGCTGCTGCTGAGAACGTAGGCACACGTCTAGCCCCTCAAACCTTCAGCAGGGAGCATCCAGGAAAACCAGAAACGCCACGCCCCCCCCGGGCTCTACCCTGGGGTTTTCCAAGCCCTTCCTGTTTCCTTTCCAGAGCGGCCGCTAGTATATAGTTTAACTCATAAAGATCAATACTCTTTTCTGGGAAAATGGGTCTTTTCTCACCTCATTGAAAAATAACTTGAATTGGCATTTTGGTGTAGCTATTTGCAATTTTTTATTGAATGCTTGCAACATTTCACAGCAAATTTCCCCTTCGCCTTGAATGGGAAATAAAGGACTGCAAGAGTTTCAGGTGCTCCGAAGGAACTGAGGGGCTGGTGGAAAGAAATAACTTAGAGCTGAAGAAGTGTTAGGAAAGACTTCATCAGGAAGTACTATAAGTGCTTTAGCCAACAGCCTCTTCAAGACTTACGGGCAACAGGCTCTTCCAGGCACACTGCAGAAAGCCAGTTACCACTAACGCTGCTATCAAAGGCCTTCTTTCACAGGACCCATGAAGAATAGAGACTTGTACTGGCTCCCAGGCCAGAGACCCCCAGAAAGGCCCCCAAGTGTGTTGCCATGGACATTTCCAGGGCGGATGCAGTACCAACGTGGCCACCATGCTCTTTTGGTAAATAAGGAAGGCTCCATCTTCTGCAGCAGGAAGAAGCCGTATGCTGCTTGCCCGGAGGTAGAAGCTCTTCTCAGGGGGAATTTAGCACCACTGGTAAGGAGTCAGTGACCACAAGCCTGGTGGTGTCCATTCGAGGCTGTCAGCATCCCTTAATGATGCCATCCATGGGTTTTCATCCATCCCAGCTCCCTCTTCTATTACCTGGGCAAGTTCCTGAGGGTCTTAAGACTCAGGTTGTGTATCTGTACAGTGGGGACAATGTGTTAAAATTAAATAAAATGACCCTTGTTAAAAGTAAATAGTATTTGGCCCACAGTAAGTACTCAGTTAATAGTAGCTACTTATTACTCTTATTGTGACTATTATTTGGGGATTAAGGAGGAAAGATTTACTTTGGAAATGGTCAGAAGGGTGATTGATTTTTAGATGACAGGAAAGGGGTCCTCTTTGTATGAGGGAATCAGCAAGTCCTCTATTCACTCGAGAGAAATTTATAGAGAATCAAAAGTTGCGAGGCACTGTGTAAGAGGCTGAGAAAAATCACATGAAGACATGTATACTTGCAGCTCTTCAGACCCTGTGTCCTTTCTAGAGTAATGCAACTACCTTTGCTTCAGAAAGGGTGGTACTTGATCGTAAAGGCTGAGTAAAAGTTTAGCAGGGCCTTTTGAATAGAGAAAATAGTACATGCCTAAATACAGGCATAAGGGAAAGGCAGGGCACTGAGCCAGCGGATGGCTTCAAGTCCCAAAAGGTCAATCGGATGGGAAAGAAGGGGTAGGGAAAGAGCAGTGTGAAGGGCAGATTGGTGCGATGGGGATTTGGGTTATTTTGGTGGTACTGGAGAATGAACCCAGGATCATCTCACTGAGCTACGTTCCAGCCCTCTTTTTAATTTTTGTTAAATTTTGAGACAGGATCTTGATTAGTTCCTCAGTTCTCTGGGCTGGACTAGAAATTGCTATCCTCCTGCTTCAGCCTCCCAGAGTGCTGGGATTACGTGCGTGAGCCACCATGCTCTACTGATCCTGTATTCTTGCTAAGAAGTTTGGTTTAGAGTTGGTTCACAAAGAGGACACCTGTGAGTATGGTTTCTCTTTATTTCTTTTGATGTTCCTGTGCGCTGTGTTAGTCTCACCTCTTAAATCCAATTGAGTAGTTAGTGCTTCTTCCCATGTAAGCTGAATGGATGCTGATAGATGTTGATTTTTCACAGCTGGTGTTAGTATTGTATTCCACAGCATTATCAAATGTTCTAGTGGTATTTTAGGCATGAAGGTATACTGAGGTTGGGCACCTAATATTTTCTAGGATCAAGGTGTTTTTAGATAATTTTGATATCATTTCAGCTAATTAGCTGCAATCCCTCCTTCTGTCCCTACCATTATGGGTCACCCTCCAGCAGAGCTCCGAACACATTCAGACCTTTGCTTAGCTTTGTGTTTAGTGATGAGTGTGAGATGCCTGTGCCTTATGAAAATGACATGCAACAAGGGTAGTACCAGGTCTCTGTCCTCAGGGACTCCAGTTTCTGACTAGAATTGGAGCATGACTCTGCAATTCTTTTCTTACCTCTTGGGTTGGTGGTGTTACCTCTACTTTTAGTTTAATCGGTAAAGTCACATTTTCCATTCTTCCAGAAAAATTGATATTCTGTGGGACTCTAATATGAGAGAGATAGTGACTTGGGAAAATTTAGGAGCATGGGTGGATAGAATGGAACAGAAGGGAGTGGAGAGTTTCTTCCCAACCATTATGTGCGTGGCAGTGTGTCTCCCGGTAGCCAGCATTCTTGCTGAACAAAAGTGCACGCACACAGATAAATTCATTACAGCATGGATAGAATTTCTAACTATAACCAAAATAAAGAGTAGGTGATGCTCTGGGTTTGTCTGACAGATAATTTGCCTGAAACAAAGGTTTGCGGAGGAGTTTAAAAAATAAGAAATAAAAGATGTTGAATATACTGGGAAAGACTTTACATTAAAGGCTTCAGGTTAGACTTTAGCCTGAGAGACAGAATTCTTTTTTAAAACATCATCAAGATTTCCTGGGGGTACCCAAGAACCAGTTCTTTCTTTCTTTCTTTCTTTCTGTATTGAGGATTGAACCCCGGACCCCCATACCCAGCTATATCCTAGGTTCTTTGTTTTGTTTATTTGTTTTTTTATTTTTCACTTTGAGATAGGATCTTACTAAGTAGCCCAGGCTGGGTTTGAACTTGTGATCCTCTCACCTCAGCCTCCCAGAGTGCTGGGATCACAGGAGTGTGCCTCCATGCCTGCTTAAGAATTAGTATTTTTCATACGGTCCCAGGGGATTCCAGCACAATGCTGTGCTGGAGACCGATGATGTAGGCAATGGGATCCAGAGACCATGACACTAAACAGTACTTGTTCTGCCCTTTCTGCTGGGAAAGAGAGTAAACAAGAAAGCACATTTAAAAGGGTGTTGCTATGGGTTCTTGCTACTCAGAATGTGCTCAGTCATTGATCCAGCCATGTGGACATGAGCTGAAAGCTTGTTAGAAATGCAGACTCTCCAGCACTAACCCAGACTTCCGGATAATCTGCATTTTTGAAATAATCTGCATATTAACAAGCTCTCCAGGGGATGCATGTGCACATTAAAGTTCAGAATGTGCTGATCTAGGCATTAGGGAGATCTGGCAGCAATGGTTAAGAAACCAGAGCAGGAACTGGGAACAGATGGGAGACTGGAATCTTATACTCAGAATGGAACCAGCAAATATACCACCTCACAGCTAAATGAAGAATCACTGAATTGGGGCTTTTGGACATCCCTGGTAATGGCTGAGAACTGTCCCACAGTACATGGTAGATAAGCTGCTTTTGCCACAATACAGGGCTGCCAGAATTCTGCCAGCAATGTAGAGAACACAGGCAATGGAGAAGTCCAAGATGGTGATGTATTTTTTTTTAAAGGTTTATCTCTCAGAGAATAAACAGCAAGGGCAATAGGGAAGTGACTCTAGAGGGAAATGCTGAGTCTGGTTTCAGGCATGTTGAGCTCGCCGTATGAACAAGTGAATGTAAGTAACACTCAGTGGAAATGAGAGATGAAGTCTGAGGGCAGAAAGGTAAATAATTAAGAGGACTTACTGAGAACAAGAATGCGAATAGTGAAAGGCAGATGAAAAGGCCAGCAAAGTTTGAGGACATGGTTATGTAAAAATCAGTGGGTACTGCACATGATTTCAATACCAGATTTGTGACAGCACCATGGAGAAGGTGCTTAAAAGACTGCAGCAACGTTTGCTTGAGAAGAATCAGAGATGTCAAATTTTAGTGCGGCAGCAGGAACAAACAAGGCAGATGACTCTATCCAGATCCTGTAAAGCTGGGGTCATTCCAGGTTCCCTTTTCTGGTTCTCAGCCCTCTGTGACTTTTCATGGGGCTTGGGAATATAGGTAAATGAAGAAAGGAGTCAGGTTTCAGTGTGAGCCCCAGGAAGCTGCAGAAGTAGATGCCCAGGAGAAGTCTACGGAGGAGGATTCCCAGCTCCATCAGCCCCTAAGTCTGGGAGCACACCGCTGTGCTGATTTTAAAGTCTACTCACCAGTCTTGGTACGCTGCTCTTTAAGTGATAGACATTAAACTCCCTCCTGTTGTGTGTGAGCTGTACTTAGTGATTCATTTCTAACAAGTGAAAGGAGGCAGCAGGGACAGTGTGTAAATTCCAAGACTGGGTGCCAAAGGGCACTGCAGCTTCCTCTTTGGGACCCCTTGCTCTAGAGGAAGTCAGCTGCCGTGTCAGGTGTGTGCTCAAGCAACCCCACTGCTGTGTCTGCAATGGTAAAGAACTGGGCTCTCTTGGCCACAGCTATGTGAGTGTGTTGTTTTGGT